TGTTTTTCTTATCAATAATAGTTCCTTCCAGTTTTAAGAACTTTATTCTTCTACTACCTATGCATCCAGCTCCAGTAGTTATAGTTCCTTACATCCTTTGGTCAATATGCTCCACTTACTCTCATATTCTTTAGTTTCATACAGTCAGAGTATTCTAGCAGAGAGAGAGGCCCTTCGGCCCACAGTGTCCATACCAGTCTGTCAAGTACTTGTCTAGTCTAATCCCACTTCTCAGCACTTGGCCTGTTGCCTTATACATTATGGTATTTCAAATACTGTATTCATCCAAATACTTACTAAAATGTTGCAATGGTTCCCACCTCCACCCACCTTTCAGGCAGTGAGGTTTCAACTACCTATGGTCTCTGGGTGAAACAATTCCTCAGCTCCCCTCTAAATCTCACCTTAAATCTATGCTCCCTGGTTACTGACCCCTCTTAAGGAGAAAGTGTCTTCCTACCTATGCCCCTCAATAAAGTCTAACCTCAGCCTTTTCTGCTCCAAGGAAAAACAACCTAAGCTATTTAGTCTCTCTTCATTGCCGAAAGTCTCCATTCCAGGCTACATCCTCATGAATCTCCTCAAAAATCACTTCCTTCCTATAATGTAGCAATAACAACTGCACACAGTACTCCAGCTGGGTCTTAACTAATGTTTTATCCAATGTAACCTCCCTGCTCTTATATTCAATGATTCAATTAATAAAGGCAAGTATCCTATATGTCTTCCTAACCATGTTATCCACCTACCCTGTTGCCTTTAAGGATCCATGGACATGCACAGCAGGGTCCCTTTAATCTTCAGTACTTCCCAAGGTCCTACCATTCATCATGTACTCCCTTACAGCATTAGTCCTCCAAAAAGGCATCAGCTCACACTTTTTAGGATTAAACTCCATCTGCCAATATTCTGCCCATTCAACCAGCTCATCTATACACAGTTTACCTTTTCACTGTTTACTATACTGCAACTTTGAATGTCATCTACGAGCCAACTGATCAAGCCTCCTATGTTTGTGATTAGATTGTTAATATATCTTCAAGCAGCAAGGCACTCAGTACTGAACCCTGCAGACAATATTGGACGCAAGCTTCCAGTCACAAAAACAACCTTTAACCAGCACATTTTGTCTCCTGTCACTAAGCCAAATTTGGATCCAATTTGCCAAACTGCCCTGGATTCCATGGACTCTTACCTTCCCACATGTGAGCCATGTCAAGAATCTGAATGAAGTCTATGTGAACTATAATCACATTACCCTCATCTACATAGCTAGTTATTTCCTTGAAAAAGGCAAATTAAATTTGTTAGACACGATTTCCCTAACTAAGCAACGGTATTCTTGATTTATCGTTGCCTCTCCAACTGGTGATTAATTCTGCCCCTCAGAATTCTTTCCAAAAGTTTCCATATCTGTGACACTAGATTCACAGGCCTGCAGCACCCTGGTTTATCCATACCACCCTTCTTGAAAAAGGTGCCAAGTACCACATTAGCTGCCTCCCACTTGTGCTTTCACCTTTCTTGTGATCAGAGAGGATTCAAAAATTAATGTCAGGATTGTTACAATCTCCCCACTCACCTCTCACAGCAGCCTGAGATGCATCTCATCTGGGCCTGGGAGCTTATCTACTCACAGGCCAACTGAAACCATTAACGCCTCCTCCCTCTCAATACTAACTTGTTCACATATAGCAAAGACCCCCTCCCAGATTTCTATACCTACATCATACTTCTCTTTGCTGAATACAGATGCAAGGTACTCACTCAAAATCTCATTCAAATTCCAGCTCCACACAGATGGTCACTTTCATCCCTAGTGGGCCTCAATTTTTCTATAATTGGCTTCCAAATATAATTTGGATTTCTCTTTATTTTATCTGTCAATGTTTTTCTTTTACATGCTCTGACTTTGCTCTCCTAATTTAAGCAATCCTTTGCACTTTCTACACACCTTTAGAGCTTTGGTATCTACCACAGTAACCCTTCTTTTAATCCCCCTATAATCTAATTCTGTGCATTCCTTGATATCCAAGGTTCCCTGGCTTGTTGACTCATTCAAGAGGTATGAGGAAGAGGTATGTTAGCCCCGCACTCTCTCAATATCTTTTTGAAGAACTCTCCCTGCTCTGATGTAGATTTTCCTACAGGTAACTGTTTCCAGTCTTCTTTGGCCATGCCCCCTAAACAAAAAAAAAAACCTTTACTTCATATCCATCTTTGTCTTTTCCATAACTCAGTAAGATTTAACATAGTTATGGTCACTATCACCACTAACAACTAAAATTAGGTTCAGCACCACCCCTTCTCTTGCAGGGCTTCCTACAGACTTGCCTAAAAAGCTCTCCTGGATACATTTTAAGAATTCTGTGAAATCTAAGCCTTTCATTCTTTCTATACCAGTTAATACTGGGAACGTTAAAATCCCCTAGTCCCTATTATTTTTATACCTCAAAGTTGCTTCCATATCTGCCCTTATCTCTCTTGGACTATTTGGGTCTCGTACGTGCACTCTCAACAATGATTATCCACTTTTTATTGTTAAGTTCTATCCATATGGTGCCAATATTATCCCTCCTTAACCTAGCAAGGGACTCCTCGATCAATATTGTGACACCTCTTCCTTACACACCTTTCTCCATCTCACCTAAAGATTCCATAACCCTCTCCCTGTTACTAGCCAAAATCCTAGAGATTTGAAGAGTAAGCTCCAGGCTACTATTTGCAAGCAGCCCAGGAGAAAAAAAAAGCACAGGATTTTAAATTTAAATAGTGTTGTTTTCAGTTTGTTTGAATACCCAATGATTAGTTACATAATTATTACAGATGGGGAAGAAGGATTATGACTGAGTAGGGTTGCTGATAGAAGAGTCTTATGATGAAACTTCAAGGGACCCAGCCAGAGTAATATTTCTACCTTACTGACTAGAGCTGGCTTCATCTTGCATGAGATTAAAGACCTTTATGGGCTTATTGCCCATCATGAATTGTCCTGGAGATGGACTATAATTTTAAATAATATTTACATTTTATTCTCAATGCAGCCATTTCAGATGTGCGGAATGCTCATTACAGAGTGATGATAATCTAAAAAGCATTGCCTATGAAATTGATGGAAGTATTTCAACAACATTCAGAAGGGAACCGAATAAATACTTTAAAAGGAAAAATTTATCGGGCTATGGATAAGGGGCAACAAAGTTGGACTTAACGATAGTTCTATCAATAGCTAGTACAAGTAGTATTGGCTGAAAGGTTATATCATTCTATGATTCTACAGCAGTTTTCAGCATTTGTGTAATTAGTAATGGAGGATAAAGAGATGGCAGACAAATTGAACTGATACTTTGTGTTGGTTTTTGCTTGAGGATACACAAAATTGCTGTAAAACAGGAATTGAAGGAAGGGAGGAACTCAAGAAAATATCAAAGGATGCTTCATAACCTATCTCTCTGCCTTTGAAGACTGTTATGGTTTATCACAGGGGTAACAGAATATAAGAGTAGGAAGGTTACACTTCAGTTAGACAGGGCATTGGTGAGACCACATCTGAGCAATGCTTACGGTACCAGTCACCATACTTACAGAAGGATGTTAATCTGTTCGTAGCTGTTCTGAGAAGGTTTATTAGATCAGCACCTGAAATGAGCAGATTGCCCGATAAGGAAAGGCTAGACAGTCTAGGCCTGTACCCTCTGGAGTTTAGAAGAGTCAGAGGTGACTAAATTAAACATAAAAGATCTGAAGGTGCTTAACTGCCTGGATGTTGAAAGCATGTTTCGTCTTGTGGGAGAATCCAGAAAAAGGGGTCAGTTTAAAAGTAAGGGTGCATCCATTTAAAACAGATGAGGAGACTTTTGTCCCCCTGTGAGGTTGGAGTGTCTTTGGAATTCCTTTCCTCTAAAGGCAATGGATGCAGAATCTTTAATTCTTTTTTTTCCATAGCAGAGGTAGATAGATTCTTGGTCACCAAGTGAAAGATTATCACGGATTGTAGAGTTTAAAATCAGATCAGCCATAATCTTATTGAATGGTGGAGAAGGCTCAAAGGACTGAATGACTCTTCTTCCTATGTTTGTAGGTTTCCTGGCTCAGCACCCTAGAATAGGAAGTAACGCATTTTGCTGAGGAAGCTCAATACCACTAAGAGTTAGGTCAATTCCATGAGACTTTCAGCAGTCACATTTATTTTTAAAATAACTAAAAGCCAAAAAACAAAGAGAGGTTATAGAATGGATTTAGTAAGCTGAGGAAGTTTTAATTTCATCTGGTAAGATTAAACAGATTTCCCATGTTTCACTTTACCTTGACAACACAACTGAAGGCAAGGCCAAGCTGAACAAACAAAAAATTATAGCTGGTCAATGCATTGAGTACTGATTCACCGTACCCCTTCAAGACTGAAATGGAGATTGACTTTTGAATGGTACAGAGATCACATTATACAAAAAAGGTATGGTAACCATGGTCTCCTCGTTGGTTTTCTTTGTTAAAAATCACCTAAAGGGGTTGTGAGGAATTGACCACAATTGTTTCCTCAGTGGTTCGGGATTTTCTCTTTTGTTCTGTCTCTAAAGAGGTTGCTGGATGCAAGGGGTTAGAAAGGGACTGGATGCTTCGTCATGATGCTGTAGGGTTGGAGGGGCTAGATCCACACACTGGCTTTACCACCTAGTCAATTCCATTTATTCATATAGTACCACAAACAGGGGTTTAGAATATTTTTGAAATGAGTTATACCCTTGTTGCCTCTTTATGAACAAAAACTTGCAGTACCCAGGCTTGATGCACAACCACAAATGAGACCAGAGCAAGCTAGACAGTGCAAAAAAGTCTTTTCATGTTGCCAATTTTTCTTAATTGTGGCATTATCACCTATATACTAATCCCATGCTAAAACATACCTGCAACTACAGCAAGCTAAGACATTATATCAGCTCCAGCCCTTCTTTTTATAGCACATTTATCACTTGCCTCATTTGGAGATACGTCAGTCTCACCTGTTGCTTTCCCAGTCTTCACTCTCCTTATCTTTCTCTGCTGAAGCGTGGGTCACAGGGCCTTGATGTTTCTTCACAATTCGCATACCACCTGCTTTGACTAAAGACACAGCAGACAAATAAGAAAGCAAATAAAGGCAGGTAGCAAGAGAGAGAGGACAACGGGTCGGAAAAGATTGGGGGGAGGTTTGGATGGGCAGGTGGGCGAGGCAGTGGGACTTAAAAGAAAATGAATAGTAACATTTTACAAACTGCAGTCAAATTGTATCTTAAAATCATAAATGAAATAATTTACTCCTGAACAATATCAGTAATTCCTTGTTTTGTGTGGCTGAGTGCACAAGGTGCAGTTTATATCTTTGAGGCATGAGCTTTCCCAGAAGTACCAATTCTGCATTTACCTAATCACCCACATTTCTGGTGGTATATGGATTCTTCTCAAGACATGAAATTGAACATCTTCCTGAATTGGCAAAGTTAAATTTTGCTGCATTAATGCACACACTCATGGGAAAATTGGATTAGAGTTGGAGATGATCTAATGAACCTGGCTTTTATGGGAGTAGTGGGTGGGAGTGTAGGTAAACTGTAGAACAAAGTGGAAGAAAACAGTGTTTGAAGAGAAAAATACAGAACTTGTTTTTATAGAGCACTGTCGATGATTGCAGGGCACCCCAATGTACTTTACAGCCTTTAACATAATTTTGAATTCCAATCACCATTGTAATGTACTTGGAAAAGGAGGGCAAGCTTCCTGAATAGATTTCAGCATTTTCCCAACGACTGATATCAGACTAACTCAGCTGTAGTTGCCCATTTTCTCTCCCTCTTTCAAATCTGCTGCGACAATGACAGGATCTGGAAATTTTGGAAAATTATAATCAGTATATCCATTACAGCTGAACTTATTTCTTTCAGAACCTAGGATACCAGCCATCAGGTCCTGGGAATTTGTTAGATTTTAGTTCCAGGTTTCTCATACTTTCTCTCTTATATTGGTTACCTTATTTTCCTCAGTCTTCAGTACCCAAGTTATCTTATATTCCTGCCATTTCGTCAATTTACATTCTGATTTCTCCCATCTCTGCCTCTAAGGTACTAACCAATGATTACTCTAGCCTTTTTATATGCTTGCAAAAGCTCTATGACTGTTTTGTTTTAAATATTCCTGGCTAGTTTACTCTAATTCTATTTTTGTTATCCTTATAGTCATCTTTTTAGTGGCATTTTGCTCAAAATTCCCAGACTTGCTACTATTCTTTACAATGTTACAAGTCTCTTCTTTAAATCTAATACTAAACTTAATGAGTAAGCCAATGAATGTGGTTTTCTTGCTGAGTTGTTGTTGCTTAATAGAATGTACATCTGAACATTTTAAATTGCTTCTTTGAAAGTGTTTCCTACTATTTACAGCCAAACCCGTTAAGTCTGTCTACCAAAACAGTCTGAGCCATTTCTCTCTTAATAATCACGTAACTAGTTCAAGATTCTTGTTTGTGATTGGAATGTGTTGCTTTCAAATTTAACATGGAATTCAATTATACTGTGACCCCCAGGTCCTAGTGGATTGTTCACCAAGATTACTAGTTGTTGTTGCCCCTTTATTTAGTACTAGATCTCCTGTTGATTCCACAGTATATTGTTCCAGGAAATTGTCTCAAAAACATTCTACAAACTCCTCTAAGATCACCTTTTCCAATTTAATTGGTCCAGCCTACAAGAAAATTAAAGACTCCCACAATTATTGCATTTCTTTTGTTAGATGTTCCGCTAATTTCTTGTTTTCTTCCTCTTATCAACAGTATGATAATAGTAGGGGCCTGTAAACTACATTCACTCATGTTTTTGATTTTTACTATTCCTAATCTCCATCTATTCTTATTCCACTTCATGATCTTATCAGCCACGATCTTTTACTATTAATGTCAATCTTCCACCTTTTCTCATCTTCTACTTTGCCATTCTGTATTTTCAAATTATTTTGTATGCTGGGATATTTATTCCCCATGCATTCATGTCTCGGTAATGGCAATTGCATCTATGCGGTCTGACCTGCTGTACTTTTCCAGTCTCACACCTATAGACTCTGGTTTCCAGCATCTGCAGTCCTTATTGTCTCCACCTCTTTTTGTGCCACTACTTCAATTTATCATATTGTAAATTCTCTGCGCATTCAGATAGAGGGCTTTTAAGTTTGTTTTTAAAAACTATTCCCTGCAAGAAACTGATCAGTTGAAGAACAGTTGCTGGCAAATTCTGTCCTTTGGTGTCTCACTGTTTTTATTCTCAGCTGTGTCTTGACATTTTTTCCTTGGGTTTCTAAACTCCCCATTATTCAAACCCTTCCCATAACAGTGCACTCAGGGGTATAGATCAATTCCTTGTAAACAGATGGAAAACAAAACAGGAAGGGTCTAGATCCGAAACATCAGCTTTCCTGCTCCTCTGATGCTGCTTGGCCTGCTGTGTTCATCCAGCTCTACACCTTTTTAATCACAGGTGTACAGGTCATATGGAATGGCATTTGGCATACAGACCAAGGGAGAAGAGGGCGGAACACATAAAACAGCGTTGGTGCCCTGTGATTTGTTACAGGTTTTAATCTGCCTACTCAAAATTTATTTTCCAACTTTAAAAAGGACAAGTTACAATGGTGTTTTGATAACAGATAAATTAGTTATATCAAGTTTAGCAGCACTGGTACAGTCTAACCTTCAAGTGTGAAACTATACAACAGACTTTAGGGGTCACAACAGGTTTAACCAGTACGCATTTCTGCTATCCAACAGGAAACAGAATTATACATCAGTTAATCAATTAAGTGGTGATTTAGGTGTTAAGTTTAACAAAAAAGCCAATTCATTTCTTTTTAAAATTGAACCTAAGAAACCAAAAAATAAAAGTATTACCATGTAACCGCAAAAGTTTCAAGGCCTTCCATTATGGAAGTGAAAGATTTTGTTCTCTGCTGATGGAATACTTATTGAAAAAGTGCAAGTGCCCATTTTATAGACAGTTGCCTTTTACCAAGGCAAAATCATATTCTAATCCTGCCTCCCAGATGAAAGTCACTTGTGTGCTGAATATTAAACTGCTTTCAAGCCAATTATGTAATCATTCCTCACATCATCCTTGGAGATTGTGAAGACAGTACAGAAACACTTCTGTCTATGGGCAGATTAAAATAGGAAACCAAAGAGCACCAACACACAACCAAGGTCAATTAGTTAATTAATTAACACAGAATTGGAATTTTACAGTTTACATAACATCAAGGTCAAAATACATGATAACTTTCTTGGGTTTTTAGAAGTTACAAAACTGTTACCAAACAGCCAAAAACAACTTAAAATCAACTTAAATTCTGATTAAAAGAAATGCAACACCATTTTTCTCTCTCAGATACCAACTAACCTGTTTACTTTCCAACATTTTTTTTGATATTTCATCGAGCATACCTGTGCTGGCTCTTTGAAAGTGAATTGTGCTTAGACTCACATGCCCGCTTTTTGTCCACAACCTTGCAAGTTCCCCATCAAGGACCTGCCCGACTCCATTCTTAAAATTATTTATAGAATCAGATTCCAATATCTTTCAGATCATGGCAAGTCAGAATTTGAAAAAAAAACAAACAAACATTCTCATTTTGCTGCTAGATCTTTTGCTAATGAATTAAAATCTCTGACCTCTGGTTACTGATCTGCTCACCACACAGAGAATAATTATCTATTTATCTAAACATCTCAGCATTTTAGAAATCTTCAAAAGAACACCTTTTAAAATCTCTGCTCCAAGGATAACAGTCTGAACGTTTTCAACTTCTCCTCATAACTGAAGTCCCTTCTCTGTGGTAAACTGTCTCTATATCCTTTCATGGTGCTGAATATAGTTTACCCGACTCCAGTTGAGGTCTAACCAGCGAATTATGAAGCTCTTCTATGATAAACTGAGTTCTATAAGTAGAAACAGAATATAAAAACAAATAACCCATGTTTGTTTTATTTTCCAGGATATATAATCCAAAGGTCCCACTGCTCATTTATACTTTGCAAACTGGTGCATGTCATATGTTTGCAAACTATAGCAAGTTTTCTTTCCAAATTACTCCTCTGAATGTACAACACTTAATTCTGCACATTATAAATTCCATCTATCATATTTCTGGCTATCACAGTATGTTAGCCTGAACTTTACAGCTATTACATTGCCAACCTTAGTCCACCTACAACTCTAGAATGCTGCCCACCATGTCAGAGATCAGATTGTTTATATAAATTGCAAAGTAAATGCAATCCAAAACTGATCAGTAGAGGACACAATTTCAAATTACCTTCCAGTCTTAAAAACATCTATCCACCACCAGCCTTCTTGTCATTCAGCAATTTTATACTCGCATCACCATTTTCCTTATTTCCATGAGTTTCCATCTTCTTTGTAAGCCTATGTGGTACTTTGTTGCTCGACTTCTGCAAGTACATGTATAAAATATCTACTGCACTGACCTACACCGTTTGACTTTAGTGACCCTTGGCCTCAATCATTCCGGGTATTAACTGCTTGGGCAAAATCAACCTACAATTTACAACCGGAAAAATTAAAAGCGATGGTTTAACAAAAAAAAAATCAAAAAGTGGTCACTTGCTATGGCACATCCAAAAGTTCAAACAGGCTCAAACTTATAACACAGAAGGACAGTCAGTCCACAGGGTCTTTGCCAGCTTTTCAGAAGAGCTGTTCAATTTGTCCCACTCCCCCAAAAATTTATCTCCTTTAAGTATTTATCCAATTAAGTTGGTGCTGAATTGTAAAAAAAAAGGTACATTTGACTAATTAATAGATCCAGTGTACAGCTTCAGCTGCCAAGAGGGAATACCTAGCAGACATGATGAGCAAATGGCTGCCATCTATACAGTTAGACGATAGGTCACAAATTTAAGAACATGAATGATACTAACAGCCGTGCAAGTCTTTCATTCAAGTGACACTGTATTAACTCATACTATATTTCCTACTACTAGTTTCTTTCTGCATTGAAGTCACGTCCCTTCAAGTAAACATTTACTGTTTGGGCACACCAGAACTGACAGTGTGGTAAAAGATCAATAAAAACTACAAACGTAATGATTCTCTCTGCCACTGGGGTAAAGTTAACTTGCGAAAGTGTGCATCTGCAGGTCAACCAACTCCAAACATCTCTTGGGAGTTATTTTCAAACAAAATGATTTCCTTCAAGGTCTCAGGTCTGACTGTCGCAGTAATAATCATTCATTGCAAACAGGATTCTAGTGGAAACTTTTTGAAGTACCAGTTTGCACAAAAATAAGAAGCTGAGATTGAAGATTTAGATGCAGCTGTTCTAAGTACAGGGAGGTACAAGTGCTGTTATAGCGTTGCAGGAATGTGTAAAATAGTAGAATCATCTAACAGGTTAAAATGCTCACTTGTCACAAAAAGTAGCTTCCAAACCACTGTTTATGGCACAAACAAAACCGCAAAACCAAGGCAAACGATATAAGCTACATCATCAAATCACTCAGTCAGCTGGTAGAAAATTTAACCCAATGAAAAGGAGATTTAGAACCAAAACAAATTCAAAGATGACACACCTTTAAATAGTCTGTGTCACAAAGAGAAGAACGACATTAAAAATGAGAAAAAAGAAAGTTAAACTCAGTTCACCAAGCTCAATGCTGCTTTTCTTGAAAGTACATGATGGTCTGTGAATCTATAGGCAATGGCCTTCCAGCTCCAACTAAGCCATCCTTCAACATAGCACACTTTACTGAACGACATCAGATCTGAACACAGCCATCCAATGCACATAGGGTACTCAGAGCAGGAGTTGACTGACAGTGATCTGGAACAGGAGCCTTAGTCCTAGCTGATGTTTCTCTTCCTCACTCGCAGCAAAGAGGACTGAATATGCTTTCACTATACACTCTGGCAGTGTATCTCTGACATCAGACATTTATTGTGTAAAAAGGTTTTCACTCACATCTCCTCTGGTTCTTTTGCCAATCACTTTAAACAGGTGTCCTCTGGTTCTTAAATCATTAAAACAATGGGGGAAAAACAGAACTACTTCTATCGATTCTGTCTGGAACCTTCAGGATTTTGATCACTTTTCTAGGGCCACAGATCGCCAGTCTATTCTTTAATTACCTTCTATCCATTTAATTTCTTTTAGCTAGAAACACGAATGTTCTCTGCACCCTTTCCAATGCCTTTACATTCTTAAAATTCTTGCCACAACTCAACAGTATTTCAAAATGGTTCACCATAACTTCCTTGCTTACATGTTCTTCTCAATTCATAAGTTAATTTTAGTCAACCTGATTCATCATGCTGTGACACAATGCAGGAGGGGCTTGAATGTGGAGCTTTGGGCCAGCAGTAGGGACACTACCATTGCATCACAACAGCCCTTCACCTTCATTTATAAAATCTTGGATCCTGTATGCCTTATTAACTGTTTCTTCAACCAATACTGCCACCTTCAGTGATTTGTGCATTTATATTCCAGGTTGATTCTTTAGAATTACAGCCTTCATATTCTATTGGTCTTTTTTGTTCTGCATTTTGTGATGTAAACACCTCACAGTTCTCTGTATTAACATTTCATCTGCCATAAGTCTGCCCATTCCTGTCGATGTCCTCTTGAGGTTGAACACGCCTCCTCACAGATCACAATACTTTGAAGTATCGCATTATCTGCAAAGTTTTGCAATATATTCTGCAAACCTAGTCTAACTCAGTAACGTTAATCAAAAACTTTTCAAACTTTCCACCTGGAAAGCAGCAACAAGGAGTGGGTTCTACAAAATGGAGGCACCCTCTCTCCAGCTTCAATTTCATAAAATCTTTTGAAGTCTAATTAACTGATGAGGGAAAGCCCACTACAGGGTGAGCTACTGCTGAAAGGGTCTCAAACACTGTCTGGAGTATTGGCTTCCCGTCTGGTAATAAGACATTACCTTCAGGTAATTACCTGGCTCCATCACCTGTAAAAGGTAAAGCGAACTAAGAACTTCACAGGAATGTTATCAAACAAACTTGAGACGAAAATAGAACAAAATAAAAGGCAGGTGTGCCAAATTAAAGGTGTTATGAGGCAATTCAAAAAGAAGAGACAGATACAGAGGACAGAGGTTTAGGGAGGCAATTCAGAACTTAAAGCCCAAGCAGCTGAAGCTAACAATTCATAAAGTGATTAAAAGTCAGGGGTGTACCAAGTGTACAGTTTTCAGAAGTGTTAGGACTGCAAAGACCTCTGGGGATGCCAAGATTGGAGAAAGGTTTAGAGGTTGGGTAGGTCAAAGACCATGAATGAATAAATTATTCTATAGAGTAATCCATCCTAATTGCTAACTCTACTTGCCTCTCAAAAAAAAAACTACCAGTCTGGTGAATTTTGTCCAGCACTTACATTACTTTACTTTTCATGACTAGTTTGTTTTCAGGAACCGGACATACTTCTAAAATCATCACTTATGAAACACTAAATTTTGTACCAGATACATTCAAAATCTCAAACACCCAAAACATCCATAGACACCAAGGGTTCCTGCATTGTGCCAGCTAATACTTCCATAAAATCATAACGTATAGGAGTAGAATTAGGCCATTTGGCCCACTGAGTCTGTTCTGCCATTCAATTATGGTTGATATATTCCTCAACCCCATTCTACCTTCTCCCTGTAACCTGCACTTTTTAAAAGAAAATTATTCTCACAATATTTAGGCCAGCATTTATTACCCATCCCTAATTGGCTTTTAACATATAGCTTTTTACTGACAGATGGATTTTAAACCTCCCACTAATAAAACATATTCTGAAATACCTAAGATCAGAATTTTAATTAATATCTTTAAAGAGCAGGTGTGAACAAATTATCAGAGCAATGTGGCAACCTCTGATCACTGTTTCTTATCAGTGGCCCTTTAAGGTGTCACTCTGGAACAGACATTTCTGGAGCCTTTGGACAGTAACAAGAGAGAAATCTTACTCTCATTGCAATACAACAACTTTAAGTCTTTTTTCGGAATTGAAATCTCAGTCAGCACTACACTCAAAAGCTTAACCACAGCCGACATCCACTAATCTGTACGATTGCATCACTTCGACTTTTCCTTACTTAGGTGAACTTTGCAGCCAATCTTCCAGATAGAGGGAAAACAAAGTGATTTACATGATGCCACAAACTGCCCTTCCTGACATCCATGGGTTAAATACGTACCGGCAGGAAGGTGCCCAGCTTTGGTTTCCACTTTCGCCTTGGGAGGTGATGACATCCTTGCCCCTTAGATACTTTCACTCACCCTCTGCTACAAAGTGACAACGTGGCTACTGGTAAACAGCGGCTCGCTACAGCAGCCGAGCATGCGCACATCCCAATTCCTCCTTCCTCTCCATCCCTCCGTGTCATCACGCGCCGGGAAGGAAAGGGGTAAGGGAACGTATGCCGTCACCGCGCAGTCGCAGTGCGGGACCATTACGTCAGGGTATTTGGGAGGACACGTGGGAATGCAAAGTGTCATTCTGATGTCATTCGCAGGCCACCCACTCGTAGAAGCCGCTGAAATACGAGGGTCCAATCAGATTGGAGGGGCGGGCGCTTGTTTTGAACGGGGCGGTGCCCTCAGTGATCTAGACCCAAGGTCATCTTAGGTGTAGTAGGGACTGCAGATGCTAGAGAACCTGAGGTA